TGGAAAACTTCTTGGCATTATTTATTAAATTTAATAATTTCCCCTTTAGTCTATATATAGACTAAACAAAATGGTGTATACACCATGTACAAAAGATGTGCACAAGAAAGGTTACGATAGCGCTCTCTGATAAGAGCCTAAAACTCTACACAACCCAAACATTCACGAAGGGGGAAATGGGCCAATGGTGGCAAGTGATTGAGGCCATGAAGCAAAGGAAAATACACAGTGAGGGCACCCGACACCATCGTTGTAACCTTGAGAGAATGCAGCCATACAAAAGAACACCTCACTGTGTTCAATAGTCTTACCATAAACAAATAAATTTTTAAAGAAAGAGTACCCATCATATAATTCCATTTATATAAAGTTCAATCAAAATAAAGCAAATCTATGGTGTCCGAGGCCAGGCCGGTGGTTACCTTTGAGGAGGAAGATGGAGTTCCATCACGGCAGCCCCTGGGAACGTCAGCAGTAGTCTCTTTCCTGTCCTTGGGGGTTAGGGAGTCATGGGGTGTGTCCACTCTAGATCAACGCCCCAGTCTCACGCTTCTGCTCTTTGTGGTCTTCCATCTGTGGAACCCTAATAAAGCTTCAATTAAAAAGTTTTACGTTAGCTTTCTTTTTACAAACGGGGAAACTGGATCACGAGGGGCAAGTGAGCGACTTTCCCAAAGTCAGTCCAGGGTGGCAATTTGTGGGTAGGAAATTGAGGTTTTCTAATTTTCAGCCTAATGCTTGCACTGTCTCCTCAGGAACATGCAAGCAAGGACAGCAAATGAATTTGATTTAGGTGTGCAAATTCTTATTACTGGTTGATGGAATTTAGTGTTCTATACACTAAGAAGGATTCTGAGGCTGCATCTAAATTTGATGGGAAGGACTCCACAACTTCCTAAGTGTGTCATGTGGGCAGGAGAAAGGGGCCATGTACCAGGGATTGTCAATCCCTCTTTCAGAAGGCTCCATCGTCTGGTAGTATGTTTGGGGGATAACACTGAGAAGAAAGATAATACTTCTGTGGGAATAAGGAAACCTGTCTTGTAGTTTCAGATCTAACCTATACTTGCTGTGTGTTTGTGAGTGTTAACCCACTCCTCTGAAGTTTACATTTCCCTTTTGTACAATAGCTAAATGAGTGCCTACTTTTTATACTTCCTGTGAGAATGCTACGGGATTTAATACAGACAGAATGATATGAGATTGATGAACGTAACCCCTCTAATAGGGCAAAACAAAATAATTCCTGAATAAAGTAGTTCTTCCTCTTAATAAAAAAAGTTTTACGTGTAGATTTCCATTTCCTTAGATAAAGTAAATGATGGAACTAGGAAAATACCATAACTGATCTTTATTAAAGTTAATCAATTTTTAACTTGATAACCAAGCTGGCTCTAACCTGTACTCAGCGTGACCTCCTGAAGTCAGCTACAAGCTTGAAATAGGAAGAACCATCCATAGGACTTCAGGGGTGCTGAGTGGAGAGGAAGGGAATCCCCTCTCCCTGAGGGAGATGAATGAAACTTGGACCTTCTGCAATTTAGCTAAGAGGTAAGTAATGCATGAGGGAAAAAAGGGAGAGCGCTAAAGACCAATGTATGAAATACTGACAATAATAATGGGCCTGCTCGGGGCTCCTATATTCTAGCCTTATTACATAAAATGGGATTAAAAGGTAACAAACTTAGGCTGGCTATAGGAAAATGCTTTCTTATGAGATGCATAATTAACCTGTAGCCAATGGTTTAGTAAAATCTAGCTCCCCCTCAAAAAAAAAATATAGGAATATATCTATTTATAGCAGCCAAACCAGCATCTGTAGTTTCATTGACTAGTATTGTATTACAAAGACTCGCCTGCTTCCAGGCAAAAACTGATCACCAGCTGGGGTCAGGAAGAAAATTTTCCCTTTGGTGTAGTATTTCACGACTCTGTTATCTAATATTGAACAATTCTCCAGGGCTATGTAGTATTTGCACCTCCATTTACAGCACCTGGCTCGGGGATACAGGCTGTTGCATTAAAACAGGCTATTGTTTTAATTCTGGATGGCAACACCTATAAGCCTGTATTTAGGCAACTTGTGTTTCAAAAAAAGAAAACACAATGACTATAATCAAAATTGTTCCTAACAGTACTGTTTTTCCATCAACAATCTATAACTATATGGAAGAACTCAATATATGTGTGAAATAAACAGAGAGTATGCCTACGTTGGGATAATGCAAAAGACAGCTCTACAATTTAGCAGCTTGGGGTTTCAACTGTTGCATTTTTAGGTATGAAACATTATGAAAAACACAGATATTATTCATCAAAGTGATTGTCCTGTGCACTTGTATACCTTATGTAATTTAATTTTTTTCCCGGGCTTTTTACTTCAAAGAAATCACTAGCTAATGACATTTCAGACTTTAGAAATTTTTTCTGATAGCACACTGGAATTCCCTCAGGGACAGAATTGTGAATAAGTGGATTTTTTTAAAGATCATTAACAGATATTACAAACCAATTCAAACTGAGCATTTTCTTTGCAAATTACCTTTAACTTTTAAAGCCATTGAAAAAAAGACAGTGAGTGATTTAATTTACTTAACCTGTCTACGAATTGTAGCTTTCTGCTCCATCGGCGATTGCATTTCCAACCAAAAAAAATCTCTAACTATCTCTAATAGAGATATTTTTCTAAATTATCACACCCGATGAGTGATATTTCAAAAAGAGAATAATGTTTATTTCTTTTTCATTTAGCAAGTTGCCCTGAAATTGAGGATGTTTATTCTATCGATACGTTTAAAGTAAAAACAGAGCCCTGTGTTGGCTGTATCTGTTGCTTAATTAAAACTCTCCAGTAATTAGTAGGTTTATCATCTTCTGAGCAAACGGATGATGGAGCTTGGTGGTGGATTGTGGGTTTTTTGGAGGGAGGGGCCTTTGATTTAATCATCAAACCATAGTTTCTGGGCTACAGAGCTAATATTGGGGGTAAGAAGCACCTTTATTCCTGCACATCAAGCCTGATTCTTATTTGCATCAACACCCCGTTGTGTGTGTTTTCCATTCAAAGAGCTCCTGTGGACTTCAAAGGGACTTGCCTGTGAGGACAGGCTATGTGGGAGTCCTGATCGGCCCCCGAACAGGCCCAGAGCTGAGAGAAACCATGCTAAGAGGAGCGCACGTTGGGGCACCCCCAAACCATGTCACAAAATTAAGAGGTCTCCCCTGCCTAGGCCACCCCACAGTGCACATGGGAAACATCCCCAAGCTTGCCAAGCACAGCTCCGGCTTCTTCAGCTACTACTTATAAATATTTGATGAGTAGAGCTCCATTTATAAGAAAATATGTTAATAAAAATATTCTTTAGGATTGGTGTCCAACACAGGCTTTAAAAAGGCTCATTTTTTGAGGTACCAGAGGTTTCCTTTTTCCCCTTTTAAAGTGCAAAGTCAACTTACCACAATCCAAACAAAAGAGTTTCACATCCCTTTAGGTGTCCCATACCCAACAAATGAGTAAGATTTTATTCTGAAGGATCTTCTGTTTTCGGAGGGATTCACTACATTATTGAGTAAAGAGGCATACAAACATATTTCTTGAGTGTCTCTTGTGCGCCAGATCTCTTAATTCCTCTGTTTTAATCCTCACCAATATATTATGAGGTAGATAAATTGCCCCCATTTTAAAAATGATAAAATGGACTTTGCAGAGATCTTACAAAACATCGACTGCAAAGTCCCAAGTGCAAGGTGCAGACTGGAACACAGACCTACCCATCCACAAAGCCTGTCCATCTCTCTACTCAACACTAACTCCTAGGTGTCTGCTGATTTCAAAGGCCAACTTCACATCTTGTGGCAACGGTCATTTTTCTAAAGGGTTAGAACTCACAGATTGTGGGTTCCTTCCATTCAAACTCAGGCAAACGATACTATATTCCAAACGCTGATGATTAAGTTGCAAAGGAATTGGTCTGCTCCAAAGGGTTACCAGTGGGATCCTGCCAGAAAATGCAGAATTAAAGGTGGTTAGAGATCTATACTTGTTAGTCAGAATTCCAACATGTGTCCCAAAATGGTGACAGACCTAAATGAATTTCTGACAATAAAAGATGATCCTAGTGATCACAACAGAATCCCTTGGAAACAAGTGTAAGGAGAAGGACGGGCCAAGGACCTACGTGCTAATGTATTGAATGATAACACATCCAAAGTCATCAGAGCCACGAAATTTCAAGTGTTAGGAACATTTCAAGTTTCATTTCTGTGGTCCCCACCCCAACTTCAAGACATGAAAGCCTTGATTAAGTCTAGGATGTGGATCACAGAATAAGATTAGCAAGGCCGAGTCTCACCTCTGCTTGGTGAACAGACACCAGCCCAGCTGCCCTGATGTGATGAAGGGGGCAGTCAGGGCAAAACATAAATTCTTTCCTGCTCATCACAAAAGCCTACATCAAGACCTCTGTGGCCTCTGGAAGGAATCAGCAACTCTTGAGTGCAGCACCTTCACCACTAATGGCCTGTGGCTCACAGAAAGCTCACCAGAACAGAGGCACACGTTCCAGGGACCACGGGACCTTGCCAAGCCCTTTTTCCCTTCTCCAAAGCTCCATTTCCTTACGTGCAATGTGAAAACAGTATGAGTACCTGCATAGCCTCGTAGGCCCGGTGATGACAGAGGAGCCAGGACCCCGTTTGTGAAAGCGCAGGAAACCTCCTCTCAGAGCCTTCCCTCCACATTTAGCATGTCACTAACATCAGACTACTCTCACCACAGCAGCTGGCTCTTTCAGCAAAAATAAATCTAAATGTCAGTGACTTTTTATGTAATAGAAGTCAAAACCAAAATTTAAAAATAAAGAGAATAGGCCAGGAGAAATGGCTCACGCCTGTAATCCCAGCACTTTGGGAGGCCGAGGTGGGTGGATGGCATGAGCTCAGGAATTCGAGACCAGCTTGAGCTAGAGTGAGACCCTGTCTCTACTCAAAACAGAAAAATTGTGCTCGCTTTGGCAGCACATATACTAAAATTGGAATGATACAGAAAAGACTAGCATGGCTCCTAAGCAAGGATGACATGCAAATTCATGAAGTGTTCCATATTTAAAAAAAAAACAAAATAGAAAAATTAGCAGGGTGTTGTGGCATGATCTTGTAGAACCAGCTACTTAGGAGGCTGAGGCAAGAGGATCACTTGAGCACAGGAATTTGAGGTTACTATGAGTTATGACGCCTCGGCACTCTAGCCTGGGCAACAGAGTGAGACTGTCTCAAAAACAATAAAAATAAAAAATAAATAAATAAAATGGAATGTTTCTGAACGTGGAATGTCAATGCTCTGTATTTGCTTTGCGCTTATTTGGCAATTTTTCATCGTGCATTAAAGGTTAGAATTTCTAAGCATAATTTCTCATGAGCCAGGAAGGGGTCGAGTGAACAGCTCCCACCCCACACTGACCCAACAGCCCAGCCCACTGCTCTGCAAACCACCTCACCCTCAGGGCCCACCTCCGGGTCTCCTTCCCTCACTGGGCACCTGCTAACCCTCTTCCTTCCTAACTCTCAGTGGATTCCTTCAAAGTCATCATTATTACATGTGAGGACCCTCTCTGTCGGTTTGGGTCCTCTTATACTCCCACCTATCTCCCCAGGTCCATTGTCACCTCTAGGAGGGGGCGTCAGTCCCCAGGCCAGTGTCTGGCATATGAACTACACAGGACACAGGGTTTGCCTTACACAGGCTCACCTGAACTAAAACAGCATAAGGCCCCAAGCAGATACTTTGTTTCATCCCCTGCAGGAGTAGTCCTTAAACTGAAAGTTCTTTTTCCTTCTTCCATCAAGCTCAAGTTCTTTCCTCCTGCAATTAATCTGTGCCTCCTCCCAACAATCTGTGCCTCAGCCATGCCCACCTGACCTAGCAGGGAGGCCCTTGGCTGCTGCCCATCCACAGAAATGTCCTACCTGTTGGTCAGGGTTCTGCCTGCCAAAGAGTTACCGCCACTCCTTATCATCTAAGTGGTTTTTTGTTTGTTTGTTTGTTTGTTTTGCAGTTTGGGGCCAGGGCCGGGTTTGCACCCGCTCGCTACCTCAGGTACATGGGGCCGGCACCCTACTCCTTTGGGCCACAGGCACCGCCCTCATCTAAGTGGTTTTTTCTTTTTTATTTTTATTTAAGTGTGAGATGGCGATCCGCCTGGTGCCACGAGGGGCCCAGGTGTGACTCTCAGGTGCAAATTGGGACTCCCCTGCCAGAGTTAGCGCTCGGGCTCCAAGGACAGCCCGTAGCTGTAGCTCCACCCACCGCATGAATCCCACTCCTCGCCCGTGTGCTGCAGAGCAGAAAATGCCCAGCAATGCTCACAGCACATACTACATCGTTTTTATTCTTTGAATTATTTTATTATCAATCTAGAGAAGTAATACACACTTATTATAACAAGTGAAACAATACTTTAGTAAGTGAATAAAAGCAAATATAATTCTTTCTCCCTCTCCCACACATGGATATGCCCACATCCACATTTTATAGGGAGAGAGAGAATAAAAATACATATCTAATATATAGCATATACATTACACATAGTATATATACTTTATATGCCACTTTACATCAGCCGGGTCATATCCATGCTGGGGGATTTTGTGAAGTGTTTTATCCTTTTCCATTTATTTTGCACACCTTTCCCCAGTGCGACTATCCCCAAGACTCCCTGGAAAGCACAGGTGTGCTCTGATCATGGGACCACACTTGTCAGTGGTGCTCAGTTTCCCTTTCTGTTCCTGAACACACCTGCTGCCCTGGTTGCACTGGAATTCTGGGGAGTCTTCAGAGAAGAAGCAATGCTGATTTTTCCCCTTCTCAGGAGGTGGGATGCTTGCCCACTCCCTCTTGGTCTCTGGTTTCCTGTAGTCCCAAGGCCTGTCTTACTCCTTTCTTTTTCTAATCAGTTCTCATTTCCAGCTGCCAGCCCCAGTACTGTCTCTGACCTTGTCTATTTCCAGTGATTCCCAAGGGCCCCAGGGCCCCTTTCCCTTCTTCCCCAAATGTCTCTTCCTATTTCTCCTCCTGCAGAGCTTACCAGAGTGCACACTCCCTACCCTCACTCAGCCCACTTATCTGCAGTGACCTTTCCTCCTGACCCTCCCCCTACCAGGTCACACATTTGTGGATTACTTTGTAAGTTTCAAATATCTTCAGATCACTTTAAAAAATTTTTTCAACAGCCCTCTGAAACAGAGAGGGCTAAGTATACTGCCCCCCCCCCCAATTTATACGTGTCTTAAAAGACATTAACTGGAAATTTGCAAAGAAGATATGAAAATGACCAGATTTTTAAAATTACTTCACTATTAGCCAAAGAAATGCAATGTATAAAAACACCAAAAGCCTTCTTGCCTATGAAATGAGCAAATAGTTAAAAGAATGATAATATTCACCATCCAGCACAGGAAGAACATGGTGGACCACTACTATATCTTTCAGGTGTGAGTGCAAATTGGTAACATCTCTCTGATCAATACCTTCTCAACACACATTGAATTAGAAAACCGTAGAGCCATGCGATTTTTCTTATAGAAATTTATCCCAAGGAATTAAACAAAACTATGTAGAACATTTCAGCTACAAGGATATTTTAATACTCAACTGATCAAGTTGAAGAACAGCCAGGCAAGGAAATGCTCTGGAAACATTAAAAATGGGCTCGGTGCCTGTGGCTCAAGTGGCTAAGGCACCAGCCACATACATCTAAGGTGGCAGGTTCGAATCCAGCCCAGAACTGCCAAACAATAATGACAGCTGCAACCAAAAAAATAGCCAGGCATTGTGGCGGTCGCCTGTGGTCCCAGCTACTTGGGAGGCTGAGGCAGGAGACTTGCTTGAGCCCAGGAGTTGGAGGTTGCTGTGAGCTGTGATGCCAAGGCACTCTACCCAGGGGGGATAGCTTAAGATTCTGTCTCAAAAAGAAAAAAAGAAAGAAAGAAAAATTAAAAATGATAATGTGAAAGAATAAACAATATCATGCAAAGTTTTTGATATAATAAAACTATTAGTCAATAGTACCAGGGGTCCTCCAACTTTTTAAACAGGGGGCCAGTTCACTGTCCCTCAGACCATTGGAGGGCTGGACTATAGGCCCCAGGACAAGTTGGCTGCACAGCAGGACAGGCAGAGGCGGCAAAAACACCCGGAGGGCTGGATAAATGTCCTAGGCACGCTGCATGTGGCTCATTGGCCAAAGTTTGAGGATACCAGGTATACACTGTTAGAGTCCCATATATGTGACAGATACACATATGGGTGTAGATATCTTGTACCCCCAAATGGCAAGGAGTGCTATCTACAAAGAATAGCATTATGGGTGGATTTTGTTTTCTGGATTTCTGTCCCTCTCTATTTTCTAAGTTATTTTCAATAACCACATATACCTTTGTAAAGAGGAAAACAAAGCAATAACATTAAAAAACTGCCCTTGTCTAAACGGAAGCAGTTCTCCATTTGATTCTTTTTGTCCGCCCATTCATTCAACAAATATGTATTGAAACTCCTGCTATACACAAAGCGCCCAGCTAGATAAGAAGAGTACAGTGGTCAAATTAAAAAAAAAAAAAAAAAAAAGACACGGCCTCTGCCCCGGAGGAGGTGCTCTTAGTAAATGGGAGAAAGTCAAGTCAGAGTTGCTGGTTTCCACAGTAAATGTAACCAGGCACAGCTGGCGTTCATTAGGCATTATTCCTCCCTAAATTCAAGAACGGGTCTCAGTGGCTATCAATGCAGTCAGTCATGGTCGGGGGAGATTCTGCCTTAGAACTGGGACCCACCACCAAAGTGGTTTCTGAGAGTTGGGAGTGGCAAATAGAGAGAATGCAGGAGAGGGAGAAACGCCCTCATTCCAAGTGCTCTCAGCTGCTGTGTCCCCCACCAGCTGGAGGCAAAAAGCTGGTGGCAGTGGGAGAGTTGGTCCCAACTACAGATGTGAATCAGAAGGTCCCCATGATCCATCTCGTAGAAAAGTGACTGGCGGAAACGCAACAAAATTTTGCAAACGTGTCCCTCTGAGTCTGCATCTTGAATAAGCATTCAGCCTCCTACTGTTAAGAGATGGCAGCCCCCTTTCACTGGTAGGATTGGAAACTCCCACACACGTCAATCAATTTTCCCAGCAAGGAAGCCACCCCCAGGAAGTGTGGCACTTGGCACAGTCTGAAAGAAGTCCTTGCAGCCTCTAGGGTACCATTTTGTTGCCCCATGGGATCACTGTCACATTCCAAATTAAATCAAGGCATCTGCTTTGAGTTGTTTTCCCCATAAATGGTCAAAAAATTGTGTTGATTCTTCCCCAGAAGGCCACTTGTGACCAGTGTCCATTTGAAGACCTGGCTGAGGTTTGGAGGGGGACCACAGTAAAGGGAACCAGCCCTCTTGGGGACTGAACCTATGACCTCATTAGCACAGGGTTCTAATCAAGTGAGCCACCAGGCACATACCTCATTTAAGGCACTAAGGCAATAATTTGCTAAATGTTAATTCTTAGATTAACTACAGATGAATAGAGTTCCGAGGGGAAAATGAGAGAGATTTGTTAATTCTTGAAAGGAAATTCATGTCATCAGTTTTTCATTCCTTTGGTTACTTTCGAGATAAAATTCCAGAAGTAAGGTGATGACCATAAGGGTCTATGCCTCCATAATTTTTTCTAATCTGTAACCTGATCAAGAGACTTTTAAAGAAAAAGCAAATGGTGTCCTGTCTATACTTGCAAAACACTGCACAATGATTTTTGAATAGATTCCTTGGCAGTTTCTGTCTCAGGCACAACACAGGTGATAGGGTGAGGAAAGGGGTCCCAAACCTGAATTAGAGATGGTCCTCCCAGAGCAGGAAGGACGAGACCCCATTACCACCTAAGTCTTTGGAGCCTTGACCTGCAGACCTATCTCAAGGCAGGCGGGATCCCAAGCCCCTTCCTTCTCTTGCTTTATCCCCCAGCCAGTTCCTAAGGAGCCAGTTATACAAACAGCAAATACGGGTTTGGAACAAAGCTTTGACACTGCCTTTGGTATCCTGTGCTCATATTACATTTCTATGAATATTCCACTGACTTT